TAGACAGCGCAGTTTCTCTTTCTTTTCCTGTTGTGAATTCATTTTGAGGCTTGATGGCTAGTTGTAAGCGGTTTTTTCTTTTTCTGTTGTCTAATACTTACCTCCGTTTTCGTTTACTTGTCACCGGATTTGTACTGTAGTAATTTTGACCATACGTTTTTTTTCTACAAAAGAGTTTTAGATACATCAAGTTTTCACATATATGATTCTTTATTGAACATACTTCATTAATATTATATACATTGAAGTATCTAAGATTTTTTTAGAAGAAAAAATAGATGGTCAAATTTGCTACAGTAAAAAGTTGCTGACAAGTAAACACAAACGGAGGGAAGTAAAATTTACAGCGAAACTCTTATCGTCCATTCTAAAAAAGATTCTTCATATTTACACTATCTGGGTGCAAAGCCATCAGTGAAATTAAGATCATTTTCAACATCTCTTAAAGCGGCTAACATCTCTGAAAGTATTTCTTTTCCATAAACCCAAATCTTAATAGCTACCCCCTCAATTCCAAAATTATAAGACGTTTTGGCCACCGTTAGCACACTATGTTCTGCACTTCGGCGGGACTCGGCGTGGGGGCTTCTCCCACATCCCTACCCACTAGACGGACATGAGGTCCAAGAGGTCTTAGACGCCAGCGAACATCTTAGATGGTGGAGAGTTGTTCCTACCATGTGTGCTATCTTCACTAGATGAATGTAGCCGCTTGAAGACGTATGAGGTGGAGAGTTGCTTGTATGCACTGTTGGCGTTTCTTAGCGTCATTACTAGGATTTGTGTTTTCTAGCAATGGCACTAGAAACACCGTGACGATATTTCTGAATACATGCAGAAATATTCCGCAAGCATACGGATATATCGTTGTAGCACTTCACCCGGAAGTATTAAGGTATAGTTCATTTATATTTTTCCAAAGAAAGGCATGATGTAAAAGATTCTAGTAGGGACACAGTCAAGATAACATGACTGAATAATAGACCAAAGTGCATAACAGGGTGAGCCAAGATAAATATTGGATAGTGTGACACACACACTTAAGCCGATCTCAAGGATAAAGATAAAAGAAAGAATAAAAGAATATACCTAAACAGGAGCAGGCTTATCTTGTATAGCTATGCTAAGATGAGCAGATCATACAAATACATGAATATCTAAGGGTAGCGATCCTAAGATATGATAGCTTTGGTCACTATAAACTTACTTCGGGCACCAACGTACACCTGATCTACCAGGCGATACTGGCCTACGGATCTACGCCGTATCCGAACGTGGGGGATTACGAAGGACGGATAGGGCTGTCACCACCTGCCGCCTACCCCTCAACCAGAGGATATGAGGCAAAAGAAGGTAACTTCTAACATAGACACCACGTCTACGTTATTGGTTACTATTCTAGCGGTGGCCAGGAACTTCCGTCTTTATCAGAAGTCCTCTTACTAGAGCATCCACCACGGGGATGAACAATGAACCTGCAAGAATATAATGACCAAAACTAATCTTAAAGTACAACCTACTACCTCAATTTAAGTCTTGGTCTAAACATGTATGTATGAAAGATTAAGCATAAAGTTCTATATGCTAAATGAATAACATAAGAACTTAGCTCTAATTCATAAGCATAGCTATATTGATAATATGAGAGCAAGAACATAAGATAAATCTTCATATTATTCATACCAAGAATACTCCAAGGTTCGAGCTCTCCAATGAAGCATCTTGCCTAACTCCAACTAAACTACTAAAAAGAGTAAAAGGAATACAAGTGTGGAGGGAGAGAGGCTCTTATGTGGTGTCCGTTGAATGGGGGCCTATACACCTCTACTTATACATGCTTGAGGTCGGTTTGGTGGGGGATAAATTAGAAAACCATGCTGAACCACCTCTGCATGGCATTAAGGAACCGCCAGAGCGAGGTGGGACCGAGAGGAGCTGGGGGCGGTGCAGCCACACCCCTGTTGTGGCCGCACCCTGCCTGGCCCGTCTCTCCACCTCCTTCGCCTGGTGGGTCTCTTGGTGGGCCTGGAGCGCAGCCATGGTGGGGTTTGGCCCAAATTTGTCTGTTGGATGGGCCGTCTTCTCACTCCTTTGCATAGGATCTGCTTTACGCTTTGTTTGAAGGCGCATTTCGACTATAATTCCATTGTATCCAAGTATAAGTGCAGCAAAATAGACGTCTTGCAATACAAGTGGAACTATGTCAATAGCAATGGCATATGCGTGTAAAACATGTTAGTTTTCTCCTTTTTGGAATTAAGTTGGCGGTAGAATGTTGTCGATAAGAACCGCCAACAAGCACACTACTAAATTCTGACCATTGCGCAACAACGAGAAAATGTTGCGATAGGCACAATTTGGTTGCAAAAGGTACATGTTGCAACCAAATCACGTTCGTTGCCACTGGTTGCAATAAGGTATTGCAATCATTGCTAGCTAGTTTTCCATTGCAAGTATTGGGGTTTATTGCAACCATAGTGGTTCATTGCCCAGCATGGCAATAGGATGTTGTTGCAATGTTCACGGTCGTGGCAATATAAGCAATTGCCATGCCCGCCTCCATTGCAAGAGGTTGTACCTGCAACGAACAACGTTGTGGCAATAGTATGTATTGCCATGCCATGATTTTGCTGCCAAAGGGGTTATTGCCACGGTAGTCATGTTGCCGTCGGTCCTCTAGCTAGTGGTGACCCTCAAGTCACACTCTCCCACATGGAGTGCTCCCCACGAGCTCTAGCACTCGACTCAACCGGACCACTTGACGCTCTTCACACCTCGGTTCTACTAGAGTTGCTCTTCTTGTCTCTCTCAGGGCAAGCACAACACCCCTCACAAGCTTTCTCCGGGGCCACACACAAGCTTCTTGTGGGCTTCACGACGGAGACCACGCCACCGAGCCGTCTAGGCTTACAACTCGATCACCTAGTGCCACTCGATGCAATCACTCAATGCAACGCACTAGAATCGCTCACTCGCAATCGGATGTAATCTCTGTTTGCACAAGTGAGTTAGAGGCTCTCTAGCACTCCCCAAGCATGGACACTAAGTCCTAAGGGTGCTCATCAACCAGCCAAGGCCAGCCACACTTGCTACTTATAGCCCCAAGGGTGAAGTAGCCGTTGCTGCCATCATTGCAGCCTTTACGGGGGCATCAGACACTACAGTGCCCGCATCGGACAAAACACACTTGTATCTGATGCACCAGAAACTGCCACGTGTCACTAGCCACTTGAAACTAGTCGTTGGCGCCCAACAGCTCTCACCATGCTCTGTCGTCCGATGCACATCGGACAAATGTGCCGCCCGCATCCGATGCAGTCCAGAAAGCATTTTTCTTCATCGAACAAGTCCGATGTCCCACATCGGACAAGTTTTCGTTGCCTAATGCCTTCTACTGCGTGTGCGATCGACCTGACAAGTGGGGCCACCTCAATGAACAGTGATCTCAGACCATCCAATGCCCCTCTGCGCCATTGTTCGATGCAGCTGTTGCATCTGCCTATAGCTAGGACAAGCCATCGGACACAACTCCAATTTGTCCGACGCACCTGGCTTCTTTGTCCGATGCAGCACAGCAAGCTCCTTCTCTCTATTTCTTCAACCCTTGTGCAAATGTGTTAACTCCAAAGTGATCCAATACTTGTGTACGTGAGTTAGCATTTTAACAAACATTTTTCAAAGGGTTCTTCACTCCTTTCACTACGCTACTCAATCCTAGCATCGCATGCAAAGTTAGATCGCTCAAGTGGCACTAGATGACTGATATGCAAACAAGTTTACCCCTCTTAATAGTATGGCCATTTATCCTGAACCTGGTCATGCATTCTCTACACGACCTTTGGCCAGTGAAATGAAATGCCCTACAAGTTATACCTTTGACTTGCGCATTCTATTTCATCTCCTCCAATGTTGACGCCACATAAGCATCAACCTTCATCAAGCCTCTTGATCATCAACATGAGCCAACACTTAGCTTCATCTTCCTTGAATGATATGATTCACTTTATATCATTATGTGACCTTATTGGTTCATCGATCTCAACGTCACTTGCTCTTCACCGTTGCCCTTATCCATCGGTGCTAAGTCCTTGCTCAAGCTTCTCCGCCACGTGCGGTGCGTCGCTCCAAAGCCTCCGACTTGCTCTTCACACTTGCAATCAGTCCATCGACGCCAAGCCATGTCTTGATCTTCTCCACGTAGCCATATGACTCCATGCCATGTCTCATATGTAATGAGCTCCTCCATTTGATAACCAGTTGAGCTTTGCAACGAATTCAAGCCACTTCACCACCATGGCTCAAGTTGCTCACACTAGTGTACCTGTGGACTAATCCCTATATATCTCAATATAAACACATATTAGTCGACCTAGATTGTCATTCAATTATCAAACCAAACAAGGACCTTTCACGTCCACAGACGCCGTCATCCATGCTTTCGCCCCGACCTCATGCAACCTACCTACTGCTGCCCGCTGGAGCCCCTGCAGATATCCATATGCTTACGGATTTATATGTGAATGTTAAAAATACCAACAGTTACTAGGACGGAGAAGTATGGACAAGCAATCACATATATGTGGCTGCTTTTATGGAAAATCAGAGTTTGAAAATACTTTCATATCTGTAAATCTTATGTGTTTTTTTTGGAGAACAAATTATGAAAAAACCACTTTAAGTGTATATTCAAATGAAATTGAACGATGCGGTTACAAGGGAAAATCAGAAGACCCAACAAGAGCAATGACGCTATATAAACATAGCGTAGAAGATGCATTTAAGAGTACAAAACTGAATGTCATTGCAATGGACGTTGCAGCCTAAACAAACGGAGAAAACTGAATGGCAAAATACAAGCTCTAAATTTAACACAACGGAGTCGATGTGTCAAACGGGAAGAAAGAAAGCTAAGGTTGAGCGACACAACGCGTCAACGCCACTGCCTGCGAGGCTCTCTAGGGACGCACAAATTCACTGCAGTACAATACAATCGTGCGTTGCTAAACATTGGCGAACGGCCCGGTGTAATCGATTCCCTTCCGTGTCGTCGGGAAAACAAGGAACACCATGGCGGAGAAGAACCCGGCGCCGAGAGGCAGATTGGTGAGCATTTGGTTCACGTTCTCGCTCGCGTCGGGGAAGAAGCAGTTCTGCACGGCGACGGTGCTGAACGCCACCGTCAGGAACACCACGGCAGAGAACACGGCGTGCACGTAGTCCACCCACCGTATCCTCAGCCTGCGGAGGTTCTTGAAGACCTGCCTCCGTCGCTCGGCGTCGCCCTCGTCGTCGTCGCCGGTGTAGTTGAACACGAGGAAGCCCTTGACCGTGGCGACGCCGTAGTAGAGCTTGCCGTCGCTGCCGACGAAGCTATCGGTGAAGGAGAAGAAGACGCAGGAGAGGAGGCAGAGGTAGAGCAGCGCGGCGGTGAGGTACCGGTTGGAGGGGAGGCACGCGCCCCGGTTGGTGAAGGAAGGGGACAGCGACTGGAACGCCAGCGCGGTGCCCGTCGGCAGCAGCTTCGCGAGGTTGGCCACGCTCGCCAGCGTCTTGTCCATGGCCGTCGCCGGCGTGTCATCAGCTACTTCTGCCGCCGGGGCCGCCTTGAGCTGCCGCGGCGGGGTGTTACCGCGGCTGCGGAAGGGGCTCGGCGCCGCCGAGCTCTCCGGTATCACGTCTGAGGTGGTGGCCGCCATGGGCGGGATCGGTACGTGGACTTCGCCGCCGCCGCTCGACGTCTCCGCGGCGGCCATCGTCCTCGCGCGAGAGAGACCGGCACCCAACTGGCGAGCGAGGAGGGGTGGCGATTGATGGATTATTGTCACGATTAGTCCTTGATGGGGGGTTGCGCGATTAGTTAGCACCACTCATACTCCATGTCCGTGATATTTAAAATTATATAATTCTTATGTTCAAATGCTGACTTTGTCCAATCAAGCTGTAGCTTGCTTCAAAGACCAAGCTTCGAAGAAGTTGACTGGATTGCATGGGTACAATGCATTTCTTCCATTATATATCTTCGTTTGATTCAACAATGTTTTGTTTTGAAAGACAACGATGCGCGATTGGTATATATGAAGCATATTCTGCCTGTAGATTAAAAAAAACAGTGTTTGTTCGGCCTCTCAATAACTCTGGGCAGCAATTTCTATTCTCGTTTACGTATGTACTCCTACTTAGTACTAATAAACATAACAATTGAATAGCATTGTCAAGTCAACAACACCTCAAGAAAAAGGTTGCCGTTATACAAGAAATTACAATCTCACTCCACCTATATTCTTGTTAATCAAAGGTATTTTAATGTGCACATTGTATAGTTTGGCCAGTAGGTGTGGGTATCCTGCATGAGTAAACCAGTAGTCGAAATATTGGATTACTCTTGGAGACAAATCGACTTATCAATCCCTAGAAACATTAAGATTACTTTAATAGGAGTGGTTCATAATACGACTGTAGTTCCACATTTGATGGATAATTGGGCTACGTCCGTTGACCCGGCCCCTTGAATGGATATTTCATCTAATAGGAGAAAAATTCGTTATATGTCGCTATGGTGAGGGTGACATGACGAGCATGCAGAACACAGATGCTTAGAGAGGTACCTATGCCATTTGCAGCTGCAGGTGCGAACTAGTTACATGTGGATGAGATTTTGAATTTTCTACGTGCTTAATGTGTGATAAGCTTACAAGGTACTAGTTGAGAATATTAAGACTCTAGTTTACATTATAGGGATTACCAACAGTGCTTAATAATGATGTCACATATATTACATCTTATAAGCGCTCGAGTCTATACCTAACATTGTACACGTCCTTCAACGAGTCTCAAGCAGAGTCTCAAGAGAAGACGAACTAAGGGAGGTTGGGCCGCATCCTGGGTACCGCTTGGTGGTTGAAGTCAAGCAAGGGCCACATCTATATTGTATACAATACCGGAAACAGTATAATTGCCGAGTGCATGAGGGTTTGCCGAGTGCATTCCATCGGTCACTCGGCAAATATCCTATTTACCGAGTGTTTTGAATTCAACACTCGGCAAAACCTAACTTTGCCGAGTGCCTAATAAAAAACACTCGGCAAACTACAACGAAACACTCGGCAAACACGGACACTCGGCAAAGTATAGGCACGTGCGCTGGGCGCACGGTGGCCATGTGACGACCGTTGGGTGCACCACCCTGCTGTTAGAACTAGGACACTCGGCAAAGACAAGGTTTGCCGAGTGTTTTTATTGACACTCGGCAAAATAATGTTGTTGTCGAGTGTTTTTTAGTGGCACTCGACAAAATAATAATTTTTTTCCTCTCCTGCTCTCCAAACTTTTTCTACTCTCCACATACAACATGTGGTACTACATGTTAAAATTTGATATATTTCTCGATCTGTTTGATATATTTAATTAATTTATTGCATTTAGAGGAATTTTTTGGTTTAAGTCAAATTTGAACTGCAAGTGATTCAAATAATGGAATAAATTGAGTGGAGAAATCATATTCACGTTATTGAGTCCATTTTGGGCCTTACTCAGGAAATGAAAAGAAATTTCGAACATTTTGTTCAGGAAACACGACTACGAACGTGTGGCTGAATGGTTTTTAAATTCTAAAAAAAACAAACGATGTCTGAAAATGACGAGATTTATCAAGATCTCCTGATATCATACATGGAGACTGGAAAAAATTGAGAAGGTTTCGCACAATTTGTCACGTACGACGCTTACAAATCGAAGCATCTCCGAAGAAGAATCGTAGCGTTGAAAAGGATCAGGTAAGATTTGGAGTCAAAGTGACGGTCGAATTGGGGTTTAACTTCAAAACTTTTTGTATAGGCAATAGATAACATAGATAGGTTCACATCAAATTTTGGTAATTTTTCGAATCCGTTTGATAATTTTAATTTATTAACTGTAATTCTAGAATTTTAATTGATATAAATTGAATTTGAGCTATAACTGCATGAAATAATGGATTAATATTCGTAGAAAAATCAAATATGCATTGCTGAGTGAATTTGACAAGGTATTTTCAAATTAGATCGTAACAAATTTAGTAAAACACGTTATGAAGGAGGATGGGTGGGCATGAAATATCAATTTATTTTGCCGAGTGTTAACTGTACGACACTCGGCAAACAATTTAGTTGTCGAGTGTCATATAGTGGACACTCGGCAACATACCCAAGCCGGCCCCACTTACCAGTACCGTACCGGTTGGAAATTAAAAAAAAATGTCGAGTGCCCGCAATCAAGCACTCGGCATACCTTTACTTTGTCGAGTGCCAAATCGTGGGCACTCGGCAAAGCCCTTTGGTATTTATCCTATCCGGCCGCACACTTACTCACACACACTCACACACTCACTTGCACACACACGCACACCGTGTCGCGCTGCCGGACCACCCTTCGCGCCGCTGGACCGCCACCCCCACCCGGCGCCGCCGTTCCGCTCTCCGCCGCCGGGCCGCCACCCCCCGCAGCCGGAACGCCACCCTCCACCGCCGGCCGGCCACACCGTGCCGCCGGGCCCCCGCCTTCCGTGCCCTTGCGCGCGTCGGCCCCCACCATCCCGTGTTGCCGCCCTCTCGGCCCCCGGCGCGACGCCCCTCCGCCGCCACACGGCGCCTGGCCACCGGGCGCCCTGCCTCCCAGCGTCGCCCGTCGGGTTGTCCCCTCGCTGGCCGCCCCCCTCGCCGGGTAGCCCCCCTCGGTGGCGCCTCCCCGGTCCGGTGAGCCCCCTCCTCCTCCCCCCCAACTTGTAACTGTTGTTACATTACATACATAATAATAAATCAATTGCTCTATCTGGGGTTGCTGACCATAAGGAATTTGTTAGTATTGTGTGCTAATCAAGTTTTAGAAGCCTATTGAACACCTCAACATAGTGATGACTGATGATGCTTTGTTCATTCCATTTACTGGGTAGTACAGGAACATACTGAGCTCCCCTGCAACATATTTATAGAAGGCCAGCACCACTTGTTTGAATTGTTTAAGCAAAATAGGTTTCGATATGCATGTTGGCATGTGTTTGAGCTCAGCCGGTATGTTGGAGTTGAATAGCAGTTGATGCATTATTGCCCTCAGGCCTCAGCTTACTTTGGTCATGTGAATATTAAGTTAGCTGTGGTGACTTCGACATTATACCTTGTTTTGTAATTGTTTATTGGTCTGATATAGTTGCTTACCATAACACTTTTTTCACGGATTTGGACGCCTTTCATTAGTTGCAGCATCTGCTGCCCAGTCTGCTGCCAGTGTTGTACAAGTCGGCACAAAAGAAATCCAATCAAAGGTGACTAATATGTGCTTACCTATTCTGCTGTGCAACAATTGATTCCTGGGTAAGTTATGCGTTGGCTGTGGAGTTTGAACCCCTCTTTGGGGTTCACCGAGCTCATATAGCTTCTTTTTTTCTAAACACTTCTTGATTGAATCTTACAACCACATATCAACTTGCAGGTTTTTGCTGCCGCTCCCTGCCCCACCCTGCCGCCTGGTTCTGCCTTGCCCTCCCGTCGCCCCACAACTTGTCGTCGTTTTGCAAGGTATAAGATGTGTATGTGGTTGTCGGCCATCGTGCCGTTTGTTGCCGAGTGTATGTGGTTGTTGGCCATCGTGCCGTTTTATTTGTTGCAGGTTTTGGAAACCTCCCCGTGCAAGGGAGGTGCTGCTGAAATTTAGATTTGACACTATTATGTTCCTTTTATTGCATGAGAGGCTATTGCAACGTCCTCGACTCGTCACTTTGCAGGACAGCAAGGTGAGGCATAAAAGACCCTTCTTTCCGTATCATGTTCGTATATCACATAACCTAGCTAGGTGTCTCCCGTATCAACGTGAGTTTTTATATTACTCACTGATATGCTAGAGGATGAATGACCGTGAGTGGATCTACACGGGCCGCTCTAGTCAGACTTCGTTGACCGATGAATGGATTGACAAGACCGATGCTTTCTTGGAACGGACATTTGCAAGGGTTAAAGGAGCTCGTGTCACTTGGTGTCCCTGCAACAAATGTGCAAACATGCGTCAGCAAACCAAGGTGGTCATGGGTAAACATCTTTACAAGAATGGATTTACGGCAGACTATACCAGGTGGATCTATCATAGTGAAGCCGATCATGGGAGAGACGAGGTCGTGAGACAACGCATCGAGGAATATGATGATGATGCCGGGATAGGAGACATGTTAAATGACTATCATGAAGCACACTTTGATGAAGGACGTAGGGAGGAGGATCTAGAGGCTACCGCAAAGGTGTATTATGACATGTTGTCTGCGGCACAGCAACCCCTTCACGGGCATTCCAAGGTTTCTCAACTAGATGCCATTGCACACCTAATGGTCGTGAAGTCCCAATTTAGCTTGAGTCGAGACGCCTTCGATGTTATGGTGACAATTGTTGGCAGCCTGCTCCCGGATGGTCACATCTTGCTAAAGAGCATGTATGAGGCACAGAAACTCTTTCGTGCACTTAAGATGTCATACGAGCAGATACATGCTTGTCCGAAGGGATGCATCTTATTTAGGAAAGAGTATGCGGAAGAAAAGTACTATGTGAAGTGCGAATCGTCTAGGTTCCTAGAGGTAGACTCTGGTGATGGTCAGAAGAGGCAGCTCGCAATTCCCGTGAAGATCCTACAGTACCTTCTTTTCATACCGAGGATCCAACGGCTTTACATGACCGAGGAATCCGCGAAACAGATGACATGGCACAAAAACGAGCGTCGATACCATCCTGAGAAGATG